ATATTGGATAGATACTTTTTGTATTAGAAATGTTTAGTGGAGATAGGATGTCTGACTGTTAAATGCTTAGTCATGCTTATGAGTTTCTACAGGGTACATCTGGTCAAGGATAACTAGAGAGAAGAGTTGATGACTGTCAGCAGACAGGGTGTTTAATATTATTATTATGACGTGTATAACTGTAGCCTTAGCCATAATATGTTCTTATGTTTAATGTCATGACATGTTACTAGAGGTCGTGAGAATGTTTTTAGTTACACAGCACTTAACCAACAGACACACACATTCTCACATTGATTTGCTTCATGTTTTGACTACTGCTATGACCAGCTGCAAAGCTGGTAACAGAGACGTCTTAGTTGATGTTTCTGTGTAGTATGGGGCTAGCCCAACCGAGGGGATATAATGTATAGGCCTGGTGGGTTCAGGGTCTTTCATCTTACATCTGCCTGCGTGCAGTTTGGAGGTGCAAGATACCTGAGCGTGTAATGTTAATTTTACCTGTGATCCTTTGAATAAATCAGCACTGTTTTGTAGTTACTTGGACTGTCTCGTCTCTCAGAGTTAGCAATGGTAAGAACAACCAAATAGTCCAGCACTATGAATGAATTTATGTAGTTTCATCTCATATACATCTCATATTGGTCATCTCATATACAGCACCAAGCTCATATGATAGCACATGACACGACTGCATGTGAGAAGTACGTAGCCCATATCACTTTTCGAGCAAAATATTTAGTACATATCAGCATTTTATCACTCACACTTTGACATGCAGAAGACTGTCACAACAACTACTGGATCCTGAGAAGAAGGTGAAAAGTCTGGTTTGATGACGTCGGGATCTAATCGACTACTTCCGGTAGGGCCTACTGACTTTAAAGGCCGTGGAATAACAGTCCGCCTTGACTGCGGCTTTTTGTCATCGCCTGCTCCCGTTCGCTCGATAAGTGAGACGCAGTGCATCTCAAACGAGGCCTATGTTTTGATCAATTAATGAAAATAGAGACAGCGGCACATACGAGGACAGCTACGTGTCCGCTTCCTGTTCTCAACAGCTGTCCAAACTAGCAGGACAATATAACCACCAACTCAGGGGGGCACTCGTTGATCCGGAACACCGGTCAGGCTTGTGTCTAAATATGTTCCTCCGTCAATATACGTTTCCCCCTGTTAAAACGGTGTCTCTACTAGCGCCCCCCTCTTTGGCTGTGGCTGGGATAAGGTTAGGGTAAACACATCTCGATGGGGGAACAGAACTCGACACAACACCGTCCGTGACCATTACCTGATTTCTCCACCAGCTCGCTGACGTCTTTCTTTTCAGCTAGTCCAGAGTATCCCAGTCCCCGACACTCCAGGATGGTTTTCAGCTTCTTATAACTGAGAGTAACTGGATCCACCAGCTGAGTGGCGAACGTACCGGTCTCATACCAAACTACAGCCTCAAAGATCCTCGCTAGCATGAACAATACTAAGAAATACAGGAGCAAGAAAAACAGTTTGACCCACATCTTACAGCTGAGCGGAGCGCTGTCAGGACTGGAGACACTGCTGTGGGCACTGGAGCAGCTACACTACAGATATCTTCTTCATATTACATTTCTTTATATCCATCAAACCATCTACCTGCAGCTTACGTTTACGAATTCTGCTAATGGTGACGGCTAGCTAATTAGCTTAGGATCTCAGGTAGGCCTGGTGATGTATCAGCCAAAACTGACAGGCCTCGTGATGCTCGAGTGTCAGCTGGGCGAACTACAGTTTCCCACAGAAAGTGAGCCGGAGCGCTGCTAAACCTTAGATATTCTTCACCTTAGAAAATATCAAAAACGACTAATCTGATCAGCTGCTGCACACAGAGAAGCTGACGTCATATCCGGCTCCACCTATGTAAACAAGCTACATAATACTCTTCTCGGTGTTTTATGGCGTTTGGCAAACAATGAAATGGTGCAATACTGCCACCAACTGGACTGGAGCGTGGATCTGAAGGCTACCGTTGGAATAATAATAATAACAATAATGTATTTCTCTTTATCAAGTTTGTTCTCCTCAGATATGGATAAAAAAAAACAAAAAAACATGTCCCCCCGCGCAGCACAAAGCCATTTCAACTAATATTTAACGACTTTGGACGTCAAAAGTCTAATTGACTAAAAGACAAACACAATTCATAAACTTACTATGTTAAATAAAATTTATTTTATTTAACAACTGTGTTCTAGTTTAGATTTTTTTCTGAATATGTTGTGTATTTATGAGGAGACTTTCAAAATGATTCATTTCTTGCAATATCAGAAGAGTTGCAAGCAAGAATAGAAAATAGAGTAGGGATTCAAGAGGTGGCTGTTGTTACTGTTGATCCAAATGACTAAAGCAGAGGAAAAGGAAACATGGATACAAAGGGATCTTGTGAAAGGGAGAAAAACGTAGGACAAACTAAGATTGTTTACTATGACTAATGGCATGTGGTTAGCAGTTGTCAGGCATCCAGCCAACCCATCCACCCAGGCCTGAGACAAACAGGAAGTAGAGTGAGAACTGAGAACTGCAACAGAAACTGAAACAGGGCTCTGGTTAAACTGATTGAGTGGGTCTGTATGTGTGTGCACAAATGTGTGAAACAAGGAGACAGCTGCTGCTCTGACAGAAAGTACACCACACACATTTTCCACTCAGCAGATCTGGCTTGTTATGCTTGCGCAGTCATTACATGCACTAACTTGATCCAAACCATTCATTCTTACCTCAACATTGTCCTGTTTATTCACAGTTGGGACAGACAATATGTCCTTACATGAAAGGTTTTGTTTTTACTGGACAGTTTTTGTCTCAACAGTGACAGATGTAGAAGTAGTCTTAGTCCTTCATAATCCCATAAAACTGGATTCTGGTCTTAATGAGAGCACATAAACAGTCAATTTAAATCCTGTGTACATATCACAAAACACCTTAAACACCTGTGAATAAATACAAAAGAGATCTTTATTCAGATTTACATGTTGATTCACATGTAATTTCATAATGTACATAGAACAAACAGTGGTAACACAATTCCCTGTTGTTTCTCTTTCAGCTGAATGGTAATTTCTATTTCCTTTATGGTATATGAAGCACAATAATGAGACACACCTTGGTTTTTACTGAACAGTCGATCAGTGGCCCCCAAACACATAAAGCAAAGGCAGGTTGGAAAGACAATGACAGCCTGTTTTTTTTATACCAGCATTACAACTAGGTTTTATCTGTAATGATGTCCCTTTTACTATACAAGGAAGCAGAAATTGTCTCTACATGTAAGTGCACTTTAGTTATTTCTTGCCAGACATAGTCATTCTTTTGAAGCAATATAAATTAAAGGGTCTCAACATCTGATTTTAGACCAAAAGGCTTGATCATTTCAAGCTTCAATATTTAAAAAATACATTACATTTAATTCAACACATGAAGGCCTAATATGAACCATGCTGTTTACATGCCAGGCAACACTTAAAAGTAATTTGGCATATTTAAGTGTCACAAACAAGACTGGATTGTAGAAATCCATAAAGTTAATGGTGCTCAGAGAAGATGTGACAAACAAAATTACTGAAAATGCAAGGTTAAGAAAAGGCAGGCATTTGTCAGGACAAAACGGGCATACACTGCCTTACATATCGCAGTCCGCTGAGTAGTATTTACACAGAGATCTATCATGAAATACATCCACAGAGAAGCTGAAGAATTTTCAGTTCTTTCCATATATTTATAACATTTCTAACAGAAAAGGCACATAGAGGAAACATTTGGTAAAGCAACACCAATCCAACATCTAACGTCAAGTAAGCCCAAACCCCCCGGATCCAATGAGAACCTTAAATAAGCTCACCTTGATAATAATGTGCATCCAGTGTTAAAATCTCTAGGGGTTCAGCTCAAAACATGTCAGAAACCCATCTGTCTTATTGTTCTACCACAGGAACGTGTTCAGCTGTCCCCACTAGGTTTTACTAAAGGCAAGCTGGGAAATGAAGTCTGTGCTTTAGTTGGCTAGCTGCTATAACAAGCAGTGGTCTGATTCATCCTCATAGTCTGCAACTGAAGAGCTGTACGTCTCAGGTGGCCTAACATAACCTGAAAAAATACCAAGTATGCAAGTTGTCTTTAATAAATCATATTATGCTAAATAATATTTAAACCACTGAGCTTGCTCCTATGATTGCCTATAAAAAATATTTGTCTGTGCTGCTGCCATTCATTATTCTTTAACTCTGAGGAGGGAGACTAGATTGTAAAAACACAAGTGTTACTTTAAAACACCAGCTCTCAGCCTATACTGATCACACAGTCCTATGGGACTATACATAACTTCCTATTCCTAGCTGACATGTCATTTGCACAGAATGAGCCATCAGTTGTACTTGGCTCCAGCCTGTAATACAGTGACCAACTGAATCATAAGAAAACAATGTTTATGTTTTACTTGTGTAACATCTACAACACTACTCTCTATGACTTTATATAGAGCAAACGTTAACCACTTCTTCATTTCTGCACTACTCTCTATCCCTTTATATATAGCAAACGTTAACCACTTCTTCATTTCTCTGTGATCACAAGACTATTTTGTCCCAAATCACATAAGCCTACAGTTCCCACTAGCTGCCTGTGTGTGTCACTAGCAGGCTAAAGCACAGAGAGTTTGAGTCCAGCCACATATCACCTCTCACAAACACACACATCAGTGCTGTCCATAAGGTGCTGAAGCGACTTGCAGCCATACATACATAAGTGCTATGTACATTATTGATGCCAGGAAGTAGGAGAGAGGAGGAGACATGAATATACTTTTCACAGTCTTGTCAGTTCATCTGTCTGTGTTGGTGGTTATATTGTCCTGAGGTCTTCAGACAGACAGATAGATAGATATACACACACACACACACACACACACACGTCTGCTTTTCACTGCAGGGCAAATCAGGGCTGGGTAATGATTGTCAGTGTTTATCATGATAACAATATATCTGTGTTTGGTTTAGTATCTTGCTGCTGGTAACACCGGTCTGCCATACAGATGTCATTTCCTCAGAACATTTTATACTCATTGTTCTGTTGTGAACACAAACTGTTTCTATGAATTCACAGTCTTGGTTCCATCAATGTCTCCCAAGTAAAAGCATTTTATACAAGGCTTCATGGTAACACTTGATCTTACACCATTTTGAGATAAAACATAAGGAGTTCAAATACTTGGGAGTCATTTTACATGACATGACTAGTTTTTGCTATATTGTGTTAATTTAAAAAATGTTTGACATAAAAACAACTACTAGGGGCTATTTCACACAAGAAAAATTTGAGGTGATTTGAGACATCTTAAAATCACAAGACAGTAGATAAATAAGTGAATGCATTTTCAAACCTGGCTAAAAGAAAAAAAAATCTTTCCAAAACTAAAATCTTCTTTTGTTTGATAAAAGTGGTGAATTTCTATCACTCAGCATAGTCTATGTTAAAGTGTTAGCACAAAATAGCAGAAAAAATGATCTCACAGTGACACATGGATGATTAAAGTGTTTAGGGCCAGATACAGTCCAAAATGGATGTGGAAAAAACAATGGATGAGCACAGGACCCCATTTATACCATGTCTGCCGACATGTTTGTCAGCAAGTACGTTCCACATGGTCAGGAATTTCAAGTTGCACACTGTCTCTGAACCCTTGCAGACATTGGAATATGGCATTCACATCACGCAGACCCTCACAACGATACAAACTGAGCTTACAAGCTCACCAATTGTTAGGCAAGCCAAGCCATAGTGATTTCCATTAACATCAACTGGCAGTTTTCCCAATTAAAGGGAAAACTGAGGCAAATCAAGGCCCAGAAAGAAGCGACAGCAAAACCCTTCGGACATTTGTCCTTTTAGGCCCCACATGGCCCTGATGGAGAAAAGCAACATTTTCTGTCATTCCTATGTCTTAGAGGCAATGATGATATTCCCTCATCTGGGGTCAGGAGGAAGTGACATCAGAGGTTTTCATAATGACACTTGCACGCATCTCATGGGCGTGGCTGCTTGCCTGAGACAAGACAGAGTTCTGGCTGTAGGCCGGCGTCCAGCCATCAGTGTGGTAGCTGATGAGGGGGGCTGGGTCTCGTGTGCTGGTCACCCTGAAGTTGGGCTTGTTTGCACTGACGAAAGTGGCCATGCCGGGTAGAGAACATGTGGGAAGCCTGAGAACTGTTGTGTTGCATCCCTGCCTCCAGACTGTGCTGACGCCCTGTCCAGGCAAAACAATTAAAAAGCAGAAGGTAGTATGACTCTGCAATAGGACAGATACACAATATAAAGGCTCTGGCTAATTTCTCAGACATGCTGTGATGAAACTATGCTAGATTATACTGCAAATACAACAGGATTTGCTTCACAGGCTTTTGTATTGGAATATATTACACTACATTTGCACAACACTGGCTAAAGCCGCATTTCAGAGGCTATTATTACTCACAATAAAAATGTCAGGCTGTAATTAAACAAGAATTTCTACATTACAACATAGCAAAGAACACTTCTGCATTGCTACCACTGACAACAGCTAGCGTGCGGTGCATGTGTGGGTACACACACAGGCACATGTTAGCTGTGGGTACAATGTACTGCAAAGAGCAACCTCAAATCAAACTCTGACTGTTAATGTTTGACAGTTCCCAGTTCCTGACAAGGCCCTCCCTTTTCTCAGTCTGGCAACATTACCGGAAGGGGTCCCCCCCCCCGTTTCAGCAGTAAGGTTGAAACTGGTAAAAACCTGTCTTTCTGAAGATCACACCAGTTAATAACTTTCTGTGTATAGGAATAAGTGCATATAATGGGAGACTCACCTGCTTGGCATCTTCTGTGTCACTGTCTGTGTCACTGCCTGCAGAAATAAAGACGTGCACAAGATTCAGGAAATGGCAGTTTTGCAATGTCAGCTTTTAATCATGCACACCAGGGAGGGGAAAAAAAGACATGGAGAACAGAAGAATGAGTTCAGTTTAACTGGGATTTAACCAGAAAACCATGTCAACAAAGCCAATACCTAGCAAAAGCCTTTTCTACTGTTCAAACAAGGCCAACACCTACACAGAGCTGCACAAAACAAACATACCACAACCAAATGCATGGGTTACAGTCACCAAACAAGCATTAAAAAAAAGAAAACTAAGGAAAAAAGGTAAAGGGGGAATGATTATAGTTTCAACCCTGACTCTTCAAGAAGTGGCAACAAAAAAAAAGATCCAACACATAAAAAGAGGAAGGACAGACGGCATAATTTCAACTGTTAAGTGACAGAGCCAGCTCTGCCTGAACAACTGGTTAGGAAAGAGAAAAGATGGATACACACAAAGAGGTGAGATCAACAGGTCTCGGAGTGGCTTAAATAAATTAATACAAGACTTAAAATGTACTTCGCTAAATATTTAAGCATCCCAATGTTTAGTTTCCAGTGAACTGTTATTATTATGGATCTATTTAACAGGAGATGCCGTCTTTTCATCTTGCAATTATTAATTACATTATAATTAGGGGTGAAAGCATACACATTTTCACAACCGAGTACTCTTACGACAATGTGTACACTTTTCTTCATACAAGCTGGAAAACCCAAAAGTCCTGACAAAATCTGAAGAATTACATAAAGCAGACTGGATATATAGCTTAACATTAAATAATAAAACCAGGTCCTTGAACGCAACTTTCACTGTTAGGGCGAAAGGAGCAACAAACAAGAGGAATTCTTGTGATTAACCATCAGTGCAAATGTACAAGCTATGCAGCCCCCGTCAGCTACCTGACAGGCGAGGTCAGGTCAGCCTGTGCCAGGCTCATCAATTAACTGTGGAATGCTGCGGGTCTGGCTCAAAGGCTGGGTGCTGGTACAGGCCACATGATAAAAGCAAATTTTAAACAACACCATCGAACGACATGAAAATTCCTCCACCCATGTGGGTCCACATATTTGGGCCTGTGTCAAAACAGTCATGGTATGGCCTAGATACAATTACATTTTACAACTACTGTAAATGTTCTGGCTCCTACAGCACTTATTTTGTAAAGTGCACTTTCACTCGCAAGCTTTTAGCTTTTGTGTCAATATAGCAACAGTCATTCAAAGTACACAGTCAAAACAGCTCGAACTTCAACTAATGATAACACTGTTAGGAGCTGTGTTTATCTTTTTACTTTCACATCTGTCACTGGTTATGTTTACACAGTCAGCTGGTTTGCCTACATTGTTCACAGCTTAAGATAACATCTGGTGACTGTAATGGAGAAAATGTATTATATTTCAGTTGGACTATGTAATAGGGGATGGCATTAGGACTGGTAGTCACAGTTGTTCAAGTCACTATCTGAGCCACATTTTGTTGTTTGCTATTCAAAATGCACACGAAGCCAATGAAGAGGTGCTTTACACAACTGTGGTCAAAACTGTAGTTCTGATTAACTACAGCAGCTGCTGCTTCTACAAGCCCAATCATGTTGTCGCTTCATGCACACACCCTCATCAAATACAACACACGACGAAATGCATATGATGCCGCTTCAAGTTAGAGGCGATCGATCTGGCTGTTACAGCGTGTTCTTTTATGAAGGATAATCTGAGTCAACTATCACCTTTCAGACATTTATTATCATAACTAAACAAACCATCGAATAAAGCAATTTACAGAGCTCTGGGTTCCATCTCTATCTGAAGCCCTGACCTCAACAGCAAAACCGTTCAACTCGTCTTCAGGACGAGAAGGAACACTGTCCTCCTCCATTCAGTTGATTTTATACAATTTCAAATGTGCCATTGTAGGCTGGTCCGGTCCTCTCGTGCTGTTCTATTGGTCCATCTATCCATCCGTCCTCCTCCTGCATCTTTTCTGCTCCAATGGGAAAAGCAGCTTCCTAAAGATGGTGGAAATTCTACTGTCTGAATTCCTACACTCACTTCTGTCTTTGTTACACTATATGTGACATGGCTTCCCGTTTGGCTAATTAAACTGTCTTGCCTGTGTGTGTCTGTATATTGCCCTCTCTTTGAAGTTGTCTTCCTCTTGTTGGCTTTTAGATCTAATCTCTTGTTTATTACCCTTGGTGTCCCAGTGACCCCAAATTCCCTGGCCTCTTCAGCCAGGTGGTGATAATAAATTAACTGTGGACCCTCTTTGCTAAAGCTGTAAATCTGATGAGAGTCAGTGTTTTGATGAACCAGTCTCCCTTTGATGTTAACCAGTGCTCCAGTTGGCTAACACAATAAGTACTAGCCAAGAATTCAGTGAACACATAGAATGATATACTCAACTATGTAAACATATAAGTAAGCAAACTTATGTGTGCTCTAAACTAAATCTTAACTATGATAAAATTACCATACGCAAAGTAAACACACAGGTTGACTAATCAACAAGCACAATGTTAATCTTCTACTAATTAAGTTCTTAATTCATCAAATGTTAGAATCAACCTTAAAGTATGACTTTGTTAATAATTTTACCCAACACTGTCAAAATATCTCGTTACAACGTGGACACCTGCGGCTATGTACATGTTTTTTCGTCTTACATTTAGTGTGTGCGGCTTATAGTTCGGAAATTACGGTACATATATAACCTATAAGCTCCTTCTTATGCCAAAATGTGGTCGGGTGTGATGTGTGGGATGTCTCACCGCAGCATGAAGACACAGGAGAGATTTGGAGCGGGTATGAGTGGGAGGAGCTCACGGTCTGCTCTTCATTCTCAGTGGTCACCTCAATTGTCTGACAGACAAATGGCAGCTGCTCGCTGGTTATCACATGGTCTTCTATGGAACTGTGAATGGCTGTGAGTAGACAGACAGGACATGTCATAATAATCTCAACACATGCCTGCACACATTCAGGGAAGAGTTTATTCATAAAAATATCTAAAGCGTGAAGCAAAATGAGTGCATCTAACCACATATCTATGCTTCTAATTCTACTTTTGGCTGTTCCTGTTAGGGGTCGCCACAGCGAATCATCTGTTTCCACCTAATTCTATCCTCAGCATCCTCTACTCTCACCCCAATTAACTTCATGTCCTCTTTTAGCACATCCATATATCTCCTCTT